TGTGTGTGTGTGTGTGTGTGTGTGTGTGTGTGTGTGTGTGTGTGTGTAGGGGAGGGGAGGAGGTGTTGGGGCATGGCTGACAGAGGAGCTAGCATCCCCATCCCTTAGGCTTATCTGATCTATCTCCAGTGTGGCACAGGGACCAGCAGAACAGGTAGACACACAAAGACTTGGTGAGCTGGACCAGAATGTGGGGAAGGGCTCTGAAAGCATGGGTTCCCAACCTCAGCTGTGCAGCCTCATCCAAGCCCCTCCGTGGACCAGCTAATGGCATCGGTCTGGCCTGGGGCAGGGTGCCAGGGTTTCCACATGGTGCCTGAGTGAGTTTCAGGAACTTAGCACCTCTCTTGTGGGCAACAGAAAACACAGGCTTGTACTTCAGAGTTCGTGTCTGACCCACTACATGGTTCAGTGTGTTGGTAGCAGTGGTGGCTAGTCCCCGTGGGACGGGTGAATGCTAACAAGGGTCAGGCTACCATGACCTCTTGACTAAGGTCTCCTTTGGCTTGGGGCAGCAGGGCAGGGGCCGCTGTCACTGTGCTCAGGACCCAGACTTCTAACTGCCTTCCAATGGCTTAATGTGTACTTATCTGACTAAGGTGTGAGATGGTAGCCTCAAAAGCAGGCTTGGCAAATGAGACAGCAAGGTTTTGCACACCTTGGCGTATGAAGGATTAACGAGACAAAAAACTTCTCAGCTTGCAGGGTCACTTTTGAATTAAAGGAGGTGACTGTGAGGAGCCCTTTAAAGGACACCTGGTGCACACTCTTTGGTGACAAGTGACGTAGTCTTGACTCTGAGGAGGGTGAGGTGTTCCTAGCATCAGGTCCTCAGTGAAGGGTAGCTGTAGGCATCGTTGTCGTCATCACTAGTATAACTCAGAGTAATCCGTTCTGTTTCAGAGGGGTTAGTGGCTCGCCTGAGATGGCCCCGCATTAAGCCAGCAGCTGCCACCAGGTCCAGGTGGCTCTGAACCCTGGTGGCTCCTCATTTCCTGTGCTGTCCCCCAACATCCCCCTGTCCCCGTTCTAAATGACCGCTAGCTTGAATACCTACTCACTGCTCCTGGGCTGGGTTAAGGCAAGGCATCACACCCAGGTCATGCAGCAGGGCATGGCTGCGTGCTTGAGGAACAAGAGCCTTCACCGGGATCCCAGCTCTAGGGCAAGGAGAGTGGGGTTTCAGTACTGAGGGGGCCTGAATTTAGGTCCAAAGTCAGAGGCATCCTGTGATATCTTCCCAGGTGCTGCATGGGGCGTCCCAGGACCAGTCCTGGGCTAACTCTGTTTGGCTTTCTGAGAGCAGTCAGCTAATCCCAGCCTATTTTATAGAGTCACCTGCCGTTGTCCCACAGAAATGGCCTGGTAGAAAAGAGCCACCTACACAGTGGGCTGTCCACAAAGGCACTCTCCATGGCCAGAAGTGGGGAACCTAGACCAGGCACGGTGGCGTACTCCTGTAATGTCAGCGCTGGGGAGGTAGAGGCAGGACGACCAGAAGTTCAAGGTCCTTCCTGATTACGTATCAGTTTGAGGCCATGTCTCAAAATTAATTAATTAATTAATTAATTAATTAATTAATTAATTAATTAATAAAAAGGGGTGGGGTACCATGGAAGGCCTGGCCCTAGGTACCCAGCACCTCCACTCTGCCCTGGCTTGCTGCCTATTTTTATTCAGACTCACTTGCTTCCCCACTCCAATCCCGGGCCTCTGTTTTACCCTCCATAAAATGGCAGCCCTGCCCCCGTGTCTTCTGGATCTGGCCAGCACAGCACATTAACCCTCGATGGCTAAGTCCTAGAGAAGTAAGCAGCGACCTGATGACTCCCTGAGTTGCTGACTTTATGCTTCTGGGACTCAGGGAAGAGACTGTCAAGTTCCCACATTTCCGTCCCTTTCCCTGGCCTGGCCAGGGAATCATTGGAGACCAGCTGCAGCCTGCAGAGACTCCAGCCCATGGGCCAGCCGCCCAGCCCTCCCCGTCCCTGTTCTTTCCCGTGCTTGGGCGCGTCACGGCTGTTACCCTGCATTTGTTGGTCATGGCGGTGGTCCAGGGGCCCCAGCCCTGCCTTTGACCAGCACCTCTGAAGAGGAGGTCAAGCCCCCGGAGCCTGCACAAATAGAAATTAGGAGGCAATTAGCTCCCCTGGGTGTGTGAATTTCCTTTTGAGGATTCAGAGGCAGATCTTAGCCAAACTCAGCATCACTGCTGACAATAATGCTGTCCTCAGAGGAGATCCCAGCAGGACGTCACTGGCATCCCAATTCCAGGAAGCCAGAAGCAAGGAGAGTGCCAGGAATCAAGAGACATGGGAACTGGCCTGGTGGCACCTGCTTTCTCCTCTGCCTTTCCCCACATGGCCACCTCCTTAGAGTCCCATAGGAGGCTGTGAGGTCACCTGTCAACAGCGCTTGCATGGATTAGGGGTTGAAATCAACAGTGCAAGTGCTTGTTCTAGAAGGTGGCAGGAATCCAGGGGATGGAGCCAAGATGAGGAGTTCTGGGGTCAAGAGCTGAGATGAAGGGTCCTGGGGTCAAAGCCCTAGAGTTATTCTGTGACCTCTGATTTGTCACTGATCTTCTGAACCATGTCTGTTAAAAAGATAGATGCAGCTCTCTCTGGGTACGCCAAAGGACTACAGTGAGGGCAAAATGGGCCAGGCAAGTTAACACACTGTGAAAATCGCAAAACCACATGGCCTATCAGCTGTCACCCTGATTGCTACACCAGAAGTAGGACACTAGTTAAGAGTGTGGCCTAAAGGGTCAGACAATCTCAACCCAAATCTCGGCGTTCTCACTTCCAGGCTGTGTATCTTTTTCTGGGCCTCCTCATCTGTAACAGGAGTACAATCTCAAAGGGTCCCTGGGAGAACTCTGAAGATCAATAGGTGGGATGCTGAGATCAGTGCCCGGTCCCGCAGTCCGGAGCCAGTGTGGTGGGAGCTCTGGCCTCAGCAGCGGCTGATCAAGCTCTCCGTGTCAAAAGTGGGCAGAGGGGCTGGGGAAGCTGGTACATTCAGTGCTCAGGAGAAACATTCATTCAGGATGTCAGAAAAACATTCAGGAGAAACTGCCATCTTGTGGGAGAAGAGAGAAGGCTCTGTATGGGCACAGTGAACTAATGGGTCTGGGGTAGGAGTGGTTGGGACAAGTTTCCCCCTTCCTGGCTCCATGCCTAGAGGTTCCACCAGCTAACAGGGCAGCAGAATAGGGAGGAAAGGACCCCAGAGTGTCCCTCCCAGCACGTTTCTTAATCACTCTAAACCTCAGTTGTTCTCATCTGCAGTGTGGAAGCAACAAGACATGCTTCGGGGGTTCTCATAAAGATAAAAGCGAATTGCCAGTGTTTCCTTTCTACACAGGCTCTTTCCACACTGGCTCCAGATTTCAGCACCCAACTCTATCTGCTACCTCCTTCAGAAAGTAGATTGGGTCTTCACTGGGAGTGAGGGCCTTCCGGCCACTTCCTCCAGTTTTCTGAGAGCTGCAGTCTTTATTAGTAGTGGGTTAGTGTTTTGTCTGCATGTCCGTCCACGTACCACGGGTATGCTTGTGCCAGTGGTCACCGGAGGAGGGCTTCAGTCCTCTGGAACCTAAGTGACAAACTCTGGAGGTTGTGACCCGCCTGACCCGCCCTGTGGGTTCTGGGACTCCAATTGGGCCCTCTGGAGGATCATCCAGAGCTCTTGACCTCTGAGCCATCTCTCCACCCCCAAGCATCTTTTATTTAGGCTGGAATTTGTCCACGTGAGATGCTTGAAGCCATACTCCATCTGGCTGAGATTTTTCAGAACTCATAGGCCAGCTGCAACCTTTTCTGGCTAGGGGAAAAGAGGGCGGCTAAGTACGACCGGTCCCTCGGCACCCCCTGCTGGCCGGGTTGTGCACGTGCGCGCTGCCTCCTGACCCGCGCGTGCCTGTCCCATCCTCCCGCAGGATAGTGCAAATGCTGCTGCCCGTGACCAGCCGCACTCGCGTGCGCCGCAGCGGCATCAGCCCTCTGCACCTGGCGGCCGAGCGCAACCACGACGCGGTGCTGGAGGCGCTGCTGGCCGCGCGCTTCGACGTGAACGCGCCCCTGGCGCCGGAGCGCGCGCGTCTCTACGAGGACCGCCGCACCTCCGCGCTCTACTTTGCCGTGGTCAACAACAACGTGTACGCCACCGAGCTGCTGCTGCTGGCCGGCGCTGACCCCAACCGCGACGTCATCAGCCCTCTGCTCGTGGCCATCCGCCACGGCTGCCTGCGCACCATGCAGCTGCTGTTGGACCACGGCGCCAACATCGACGCCTACATCGCCACGCACCCCACCGCCTTCCCCGCCACTATCATGTTTGCCATGAAGTGCCTGTCGCTGCTCAAGTTCCTCATGGACCTCGGTTGCGATGGCGAGCCTTGCTTTTCCTGCCTGTACGGCAACGGGCCGCACCCGCCCGCCCCTCGATCCAGCCGTTTCCACGACCCACCCGTGGATGACAAGGCACCCAGCGTGGTGCAGGTGCATGGAGGGAGGGGGGCCGGCGGGTGTCAGGGAAGGCAGGGCAAGGTGAACCGTCCTTTGTGATGGCTTAGGAGGGTAGGTCGGCTGGTGGAGAGGCAGACTCCGTGGCCCCTGCCTGTGATGCAATCCTCATTTCCATTTGGGGCCCTTTAAGGAACCCACAGCGTGATAAAAGATTGGCTGTGGAGGAGGAAACCTTGAAAAGTTCCAGGGCCAGTCACCTGTAGCAAAAACAAAAACAAAAACAAAACAAAACAAAAAACAAACAAACAAACCTCAGTGGACAGAAAGGGAACTGCAGAGCAGGCTGCATGTAAAATCAAGAGAAGTTCCTAGGATGCAGGACAGCCAGGTACGTGATGCCTATAAGATCCTGGTACCTAAGGAAAGTTACAGGTCATGGCTAACAGCTTAGTGAGAACCTGTCTCGAGATTAAAAAAAAAAAAAAAAAAAAAAAGCAAAAGAGAGCCTGGAGAGCTGGCTCAGCAGGTGAGCTGGCTCAGCAGGTGAGAGCATGTGTTGCTCTTTGCAGAGAGGGCTGGAGTTGGGTTCTCAGGGAGCATCTCTCAACCACCTGTAACTCCAGCTCCAAGGGAATCCCCTGCCCCTGGCCTCCATATATTCACACACTTATGTTTACAGAGAATGAAAAAAATAAACTAACTCTTAAAACAAATAAAGTAGGAGATAGGCCAGGGATTGGCTCAGCCGTAGAGCACATGGGGCCATAGTTCAGCCTCAGTACTAAAAGAGAGAGAGGGGGAGAAGAAATTAAAAGTCAGCATTTAAACTGTAAATGAAGCTAGAGACTAGAAACCAGAGACACTTCCCTGCTAAGGGTCATTTTCGTGGCTAACGACCAGCATGCAAGGCTAGCTCCTGTGTACAAAGGAGTTTATGTTCTTAAAAACTCCTTGGAGTGGGTGTCATGTGCCCAACTTGTAGACAAGGAAATTGAAGCACAGGGAAGTGATGGGAACCAATGATGGGAACTTTTCCATCTTGCATGTCGGGCAGTAGATGCCAGTACCACAAGGCCCATGCTGAGGGTTGGGGTTTGTAGAGTGAAGTTTGTCAGGTCTTAGACACCTGCCCCACCACCTCTCTGCAAGAGTGCTGTGCTCTTTTTTTCAGTTCTGTGAGTTCCTGTCGGCCCCAGAAGTGAGCCGCTGGGCGGGGCCCATCATCGATGTCCTTCTGGACTATGTTGGCAACGTGCAGCTATGCTCCCGCCTGAAGGAGCACATTGATAGCTATGAGGACTGGGCCATCATCAAGGAGAAGGCAGGTAGGGCTGTTGCTGCTGCTACCGGGCGTGGTCTGCCCCAGGCACCCAGACCTCAGGCAACGTGACCCATACCAGCACAGGCCCTGCTCTGCAGTGTTCGCCCAATGTGCTGGTCGCTCCTGGGATGATAGAGTCATCGGGCCTTAGAGAGATGGTGTCACCTGGGTCAAAGCCACATAGCTAGGTAGTAGCAGCCAGGAGACCAGCCCAGGTCTGACAACATGATAGTTCCTACTCCTGACATAATTCTGGTACCTGAGGGAGCTGTTGATCTACTGCCTGCATTTCGGGGTTGCCCCCATATTGGGAGGCAGAATGGCAGGAGGAGGAGTGGGTGGTGCCCTAGCGTATCTGCTCTGCAGTACCCGGACCTCACCCAGAGGACAGCTCCTGATTCCACAGTGCTGTGACGACCTGGAGTTTGCATTCCCACCAGGTTTCCCGCACACCGGAACCGATGCTTAACAGGTCACCTGAGAAGCCTTGTAGGGACACTCAGGGTGACTGCGAGATGGCCTCTGAGCCCTGAACAGAGAAGGAAGGCAGGGTCATTGCCCAAACCCTTCCAGACTCAGATGATGGGGCCTGGCTAGCTTGGGTACAGTAGGCTAGACCTGGTCTGTCAGGCAGGTAACACAGAGACTGGCCTGAAGCATCACCATGCTGCCAAGGCTGCTCTCATCCTTGTCCCCCGTAGGACCCCAACTCTGATGTGCCTAATTCCTAATTCCTCCTCGATCCCAGCCACTCCCTTGAGCCCTTAGCCACCACAGGATCGTCCCCTGCCACAGATCTGGGCAGACAGCTCTCAGTCATTGCCTTTGACAGTGGCAGGGAACAGGTGTCCTCTCCCTGCCTCCCACACAGCCACTGCTGTGTATATGCCATAACCTGTCACTAACCCATCATCCATGGAGCCACTGGCTGCTGCTATAGTCCCTGGCCACTAGAGGGTGGAGTGGTCCACACCCAGATATGGGCCTCTTCTGTCCTTGCTCTTGCTTTCCTTAGAGAGGGGTCATCTCTCACAACTAGACCCCACCCCAGGAATAAAATAGGGCAGCAAGCACTTGTGAACAGAAGATGCACAGTTCTGAGGCCTTTGTTTCCTTGAAGCAGTGTTCTCCCTCTTTCTAACACTGCTACCCTTTGCTACAGTTCCTCATGTTGTGATGACACCCAGCCACAAAATTATTTCATTGCAGGCATAAATGAATGGCATGTTTTAGTTTAACAAACTACTTCCCTGTGCCCAAATAAATCACCCAATTACCAGATGCACCCTTCTGCCCCTCTTTACCCTTACCTCCCAAGTTAGCAAACACCATAGCCTAAGACACCCCAGGAGTGTCTGGGAGCACCCAAGTAGGAGTCTACAACCTGCAGCAAGTTCCCCAGTCCTGCTGCCAGGCTCTGCCCACTTCATCTGGCTTCCCAGGGACAGCAGCGGGCCCAAACAGTTCTAGGCATGGGAAGTCCCGAGAGGTCAAATTCTGACCAATCTGTTGAGACTGTTTGTGTGTGTGTGTGTGGGGGGGTTCAGGCTGTGTGTGGCAAGAAGACTCAAAAGAGGGATGTAATCATGGGTCCCAGGAACATCCTGGGCAAGGTGGGTAGCCTTACTGGGAAGGGGATGTGGCATTTACCCTGAGCACCTTGGGTTGTGCAGATCCGCACAGCTTGGAAGTATGAAGAAGGCTCTTTGCCAGTCCCAGCTTTGGGGACCAAAGCTTCCAGCAGTAAGCACCCCTCTGGGACTCAGCCATGTCACTGGCCAAACTCCCAGGCCACACCCCCTTGCTCAGTGCAAGTGACAAGTGTGCATCTCACATTTTCTCCTTTTCCTAGAACCTCCGAGACCTCTGGTTCACCTCTGCCGTCTGCGGGTTCGGAAGGCCATAGGAAAATACCGGATAAAACTCCTAGACACACTGCCGCTCCCGGGCAGGCTAATCAGATACCTGAAATATGAGAACACACAGTAGCAGGCCTGGAGAGGAGACTTCAGACTGGCACTTCAGACTGTTTCCATGACACCCCAGCTGACCTGTATCCAAGAGCACCTGGGGTCAGAATGAGGCTGCAGAGTATGGTCTTGCTGGGTCTCTGTACTAGAGCTTCCATTCAAAGCGAGAGCCGGACGTGTGGAGTAGGCGAGGAACCTCCCGTTTCAGACTGTGGAATGGATCACAGACCTGCTCTGCCGTTGTGAATAGCCAGAGACCTTCAACCTGGGGCCAGGGCAGAGCTGGTCTGGGAAAGACAGCCCAGGCAGGAAGCCTAGGCTTCAGTTGGAGAACTTGTGGAACGACCTGTGAATCCCTTACTGGACTCTGAGCTTTCAGGTTGGGAGGGGGACCCTCAGCCTGAGTCTTCATTGAGTACAATAAATGTTGCGTACAAATGTTCTGCCCTATAATGTCCCTCCCTTTAGACTCTCCAGGCCGGGGGGCTCTTAGCCCTGTTCCTGGCAGTAGTAGGGGCTAGGCAAGGGGGTAGGTACTGGGCATGCAGACCTCTGAACGTGTCACCTTTGCTGGGCCCTAAAAGATGCCTGAGGGTGTGTCCTTCAGGACCCAGCTGGATTTCTTCTACTGGTTTAATCGCCGTGGACACCAGATCTTCCTTCACTAGCATGGGGCTTATGCTTACAAGTCCCCTGGATACCTGGGTCGTCTTTCTTGTTTCCTCACCTTCCTTCTCACTCTTTTGCTACAGAAGTCGAAATAGTAAGAAAAGCCATCCAGAGCTGGTGAAATGGCTAGGACGAGTACAGGATCTTTGGCCACAGTGTTCCTATGGGACAAGCAAGGCAGAAGCAGGTCTCCTGCTTGCAGGTGGCACAGGTGAGCACCAAGGCTCAGCACTGCCATCACCCTTATTCAAGGGTCTTTGGGACCCAGAAGCCGAGACCCAGAACATCCTGTTTTCGTGGGAGTTGCACTAGTTCTTCAATGTTCTCCCTGCATGGCAGTGAAACTTTCTCCTGGGCCAGGTCAATCGTCATCACCAACAAAGTGGGCCTCCTTGATGAAAGCCTGCACCTAACCTAGCCTCTGTCTCCAAGGGTCTTCGGTGAGGTCAAGGTAGTTTCTGACCTTTCAGAATGTAAGCAGATGGCCCGCAGAGCAGTGATGACTCAGGCCTGCTCTGGCTTTCTCTTCTGGGACTCGGTTTGTCTGTACAGTGGACTGGAGGGTTCCTGGTGGCCTTGCTGCCTTGGCATCCCTAGTTTTCATGAATAGACCCTGCTATTCTGCAAGAAGAGGAGGAGGAGGACCAGGAAAGGTGTGGCGGGGGAGGTCTCCTAGGCTCAGAGGGAGCTCAGCAGCATCATGTCCACACCCTCAAGGTCTGGGGATATGGAGATTGAGGAGGGGAAGGGATTTACCTGAGCCTACATGGCAAAGTCCCTGTGGGGTTGGTTCCAGCTTTGTGCTTGGCTCCCATCCCTTGTTGTTTTGTTGGAGGAAGTCTAGAGGGAAGCTTGCATCCTTTCTCCTAGAGATGTTTAGCCTCAAAGCGTGCAGAAGAAGCTGCTAAGTGGGGCTCGTCTCAGGGTTTAACCAGGAAGCAAAGCATTCAGAAGGGTGGTAGGGGCTTAGCTAAGGCACTACTAGCTCATTAGTCTATGAGCTGTTGGGAATACAGACGGGCCGGTGGGCTGTGGCACTGCAAGGCCCCATTCAGCCTAGACAGCAGCTACCCATCCTTCCACCTGAGCCACACACGTTGGGTCTTGTGGCTGCCCGTGGAAGCAGAGGGGTGGGAGTGGAGCTCAGCTAACACACTTGGCAGTTAATGTCTGACAGCAGGTACGCTATCAGACACCCTGGACTGGACATAGCCAAATACCACCTTGAGCTTCCACAGATCTGTCTGTCTGCTCACAGCCCAGAGGCTAAGTGTGGCCTGAGGCCTGCCCAGTGGGCCAGTGCTCGGAGGTGTTGTGGGGATGTGTAACTCCAGACTCCACTGTGTCATCAAGCTCAGGAAGGGCGCCTGCCTTAGAGATGTCACACAGAATCACAAACAGCATTTGGGAGCGGTGTGTGTGTGTGTGTGTGTGTGAGAGTCTGGCCCTGGTTGCAGCACATGGGCATGAGAATGCCATGGTGGTAAGAACAGGACACTGAACAATGTAGGGGTTCCCTCAACTGGCTTTGGGTTCTACTTGTAGCCACACCAACACGACTTGACCTTCCTCTTTTTTTGCTTCTTCCCTGCTATTTATTTATCTTGCAGTGATGGAAACCATGCCTGTGGCTTTGTGCATGGTGAGCAGGCACTTACTCTACCACCCCTGAGCTACAGTTTCAGCTCCTACCTGGCCTTTTGGTTGTGTGTGTGTGTGTGTGTGTGTGTGTGTGTGTGTGTGTGTGTGTGT